TTACCACACTGTGAACATAACATACTTTAAGGCAACGTCCCCTAAATCCTGTGAACTGTAGTTAACCCTTCACAAAGCTACAGTTCCCAGCACCTTTAACAAACTACAGTTCCCAGGGTTCTTTGGATGGAGTGTATGCAGCCTGTTTTATACAAAGAGACAGACTGGTACCATTTTGAATCAGTTGTGTGATTATGTCAGCATCTCAGTCCAGTAGCGATAGGTGTTGCAAAGCCTGCTTAAAACTGTGATTATTCCAATGGGTGCAGTCAGCTATCCCATCCCCCAGTCACGCTTCACACCTAGACAAGTTGCCCAGAAGCAATGTTAACAAGCCTCAGCTCTTCCCTGGCACCCCTTACACAAGTCCCTCCCACACACTGCTTGGAGCCTGGAGGCCTTACCTGCAAGATCCTTGCCCAGTGTGAGGAACTGAAATGCCTGTAAAACACACACACACACACACACACACACACACACACACACACCCCTCTGTCACAGTTGTGGGTGTGCCAGGCCTAATTAGCCTAGCAGCCTGAAAGCTGAATACCGTTGTCACCACAAGAGAATAGACCAAATACAGTGGTGCCTTGGTTCTCAAATGCCTTGGTTCTCAAACAACTTCAAACCTAAACACTGCAAACCTGGAAGTAAGTGTTCTGGTCTGCGAACTTTCTTCGGAAGTAGAACGTGTTCCATTTTGAGTGTTACACTTCCAATTTGAGTGCCACACTTCTGTTTGGAGTGCCACACTTTCGTTTGCAGAGTTACGCTGAGGTCTGTCTGTTTTTGCTATTTATTTTGTGTTTATGTGGCTCTTTTCTTTGGTGTGTGACCATGTGGAACCCAGTGCAGCTACTGATTGATTGTGTGACTGCAGTACTGTACATTGTTTATTGCTTTCATTTTATGAATCAATGGTCTTGTTAGATAGGAAAATTCATGTTAAATTGCTGTTTTGGAGGTTGTTTTTAAAAGTCTGGAATGGATTAATCCATTCTGCATTACTTTTTATGGGAAAGCATGCCTTGGTTTTGGAACGCTTTGGTTTTGGAACGGACTTCCGTAATGGATTAAGTTTAAGAACCAAGGTACCACTGTGTTCCACCCAGTGGCGTAGCGTGGGTTGTCAGCACCCGGGGCAAGGCAAGTAATTTGCACCCCCTAACCCGTGGATTTGCGCCCCCTAACCCGTGGATTTGCGCCCCCTAACCTGTGGATTTGCCCTAACCACAGATGTTGCACCCGGTGCGGCCGGCCCCCCCTGCACCCCCCACGCTACGCCACTGGTCCCACCAGATCTGTAGAATAGACCTCCATAGCTGAGTGAGAATTTGAACCCAAGTCTCCAACATGTTCACAGCCAAATGTTCTCTTCAATGTATCAGATTGGTTGCCAGTTCTCTTGGGCACAGTGGATATGATACACCAATAGCTGAAACAGCTGCCTTTGGGGAAGAAAATAAAATTCCAGATAGAATGATGGTGATGATACACTTAAAAGAAAAAAAGTATATCAGAATTACCAGATGGTGACCAGGTGGTTGAGTCCCATCTAGAAAACTATGTGTTTGGATGAAGAAACTAAAACCAGTAAAAACTGAAGTTAATTAACAGAGACTTGGAAGCATTCTTCCAGCGCTTTGCCAAACCTGATCATTCATAGCTGCCTAATGCATTTGGATCATGTTAGGAATACATCGCCAAACATGGCAAACCACTTCATCACAAATTGAAAACAAAACAAAAAACTGAGAAAGTTTCCCAACAGTTTCAAACGGTTATGTATTTATTCAATTTATGTCCCATGCCACTTAAGGCTCTCAGCAACTTGTACAAATATTTTGTAAAGAATTGTTTTAAAAAATATAATTGGATTTTTCCTAACTCTTGCAATGTCACCCTCCCCGCATGGCAGTGACTCTGAGAGCGGATGGTAGCTGTTATGTCTGCTCTTGCTCTGAGGGATGGGCAACCTCCCACCTGTTCTCAAGCCACTAACCAATGACTGCAGCCGGTGTGTTTTTTCTTTCACCTACCTACAGTTTCAGGGCAACTGACGAGAAGGACATGGGGAAGGCCATGAGTAGTTAGTAGCCACAATGACCATGCCTCCAGAGTCAGAGGCAGCAAAGCTTCTGAATACAAGTTGCTGGAAACCACAGGAGGGGAGAGGGCTCCTGTGCGCAGAACCTGCTTGGGGATTTGCCACAGGCATCTGGTTGGCCACGGTGGGAACAGGATGCTGGACAAGATGGGCCACTGACCTGATCCAGCAGCCTCTTACGTTCTTATGACAGCCAAGCAGCCTTTTCTTTGGATGGAAGAGGACTTGTAGAACCCTGTCCCTTGCAGCCCTAAGAGAACGCAAGCTGGATCTAGCCCAGTATTCTTTTCCATTAGCAGGACCTGGGTGCAATGGCATTGGCCCCACTTGCACTTCCTGGAAACTGATACAGTGGTACCTCAGGTTACATACGCTTCAGGTTACAGACTCCGCTAACCCAGAAATAGTGCCTCAGGTTAAGAACTTTGCTTCAGGATGAGAACAGGAATTGTGCTCCGGTGGCGCTGCAGCAGTGGGAGGCCCCATTAGCTAAAGTGGTGCTTCAGGTTAAGAACAGTTTCAGGTTAAGTACGAACCTCCAGAACGAATTAAGTACTTAACCCGAGGTACCACTGTACACAGAATGCTACCTCTGAAGGCAGAGGTAGGACTTAGCTTTATCCTCCATGAGTTTGTCAATCCTTCTAAAGCCATTTAACTTGGTGGACATCACTACATCTTACTGGAGCGTATTCTGTAGTTTAACTACGTGCTGTGTAAAGAAGTACCTCCTTTCCTTTATGCTTTGTGCTCCTAACATTCAGCTTCATTGCCATCTTCCCCAGCTTTAATATTATGAGGGAGAAAAGCCTCTGGACCTTCTAGCCAGGGACTCAATCCAGACTGAGGGCAGAGTGCCATTTGTGCTCATGTCCTGTTTGTGGCTCCCCCCAGGCATCTGGCTGGCCACAGTGAGATCAGGCAGGGCTCGTCTGACGTCCTTTGCCTGACCTCAGTAGTCCTCATGCCAATCAGTGTGTGATGGCATGAATGTCCCAATTATTAGTAAACAGTACATGTGACATCCTAAAATAAGCACTTCCTGTGGCCCACACCATCCCATGGACTTCCATTTCTCCTTTTCCTCTCAAAGTTAAGACTCTTCAGTGTCTGTGTACTTCCCCTCACTTTGATCAGCAATGGGTGGTATAATCATCTGACACCAGTTTTGATTTAAAAAACAACCCCACAAAGTAACAGGCCTTTCCCATCCCTCCACAAGGCATCAGCAAGCCGTTTTGTGAACTTTCACTCCAGGGTTGTTGTTTTTTTGTCTTTTACACCTGCACATCAGCAGCAGGTGAGAAAAAAATGCTTTAAGTCACATATTTGAAATATTGTCTCAGATGAAGTTGCACTACAATACTATATGGCCAAAAGCGCCAATCATGGTTACATGTATTTATAACCCTAAATTGTGATTATTGACATCTTCAAACAGCAATTTGCTTTGTGGTAATTTGCTACCATAGAAGCTTGGGAGACTGAAGAGCTGATTAACGTGAGGTATAGTGAAGTACACCAAGCTAACTGTACACAACTCTTTGTAATAAGGCCACAAGCCCCATGAATGTATGGGCCATGTGCTAACATCTCTAAATAGCAACAAGAACTGTCAATGTGCTTATAAAGTACATAACCACCTTCTTGCATGGCACAGGCACCACCTCTCAAGATTAGGCAGGATTTACATGAATGTGAACCATGCAGCAAGTTTAATGGTTTACATACATCTTCTCTCTCTCCTTTACACACACTTTACTGCATGTAGGCAGAATTAGAGTTTCAGAAGATCTTCCTCTGGGCTTCTCTCCTGCTGATTATCATTTTTAAAAAATCAAGCATGATCTGCATATTTAGCTAGTCTATACTACAGTTGGAAAACCTGTGGAACTCCAAATGCTTTTGGACTACAATTCCCACCATCCCTGGCCACTGGCCTTATTGGCTGGGGTAGATGTAAGTAGAAGGTTTGATGTTTTATGACTCTTTAAGAGTGCTGTGCTTGAACTACTATACTGTATAAGCTTTGTTCTGATTTGCCTCTGGGGCAGACTCTCTTAACTGGCAGTTTGGCAAGAACAACCCTGCTAAGTTTGGCCAGGGCACAGCCTGACTCCCTCCTTTGGCAATCTTCACAGAACTCTAGCCCAATGGTTGCCATCAATTTGATTTGAATTAATTTTATAATGAAATGATTTTAAAATGTTGTATTATTTTAGTGTTGTTAGCCGCCCTGAGCCCAGCTTCGGCTGGGGAGGGCGGGATATAAATAAAATTTATTATTATTTATTATTAAGTTGTTCTGTCCTCATGTGCAGTAGTTAATAAACTAGGTCTCTAACTTGGATCCATTGCACTTGCTTTTATTCTCTTAGTTCCATGTTTTTATTTCAGGTGTACCCTCACCTGGGTAACAAACCAGTGGTGTAGAAGAAAATTCTTGCCACTCTGTTTTTCAGTAAGCAATGCCAATGTCATTGTGGTACATACAAGTGGGATGGATCAATAGTCATTTGATCCGGAGTGCTGACCAAGGACATCAAGGGTAGGGAAACTTTGGCCTTCTACATGTTGCTGAACTACAACTCCCAACCGTCCCAGCAAGCATGGCCAATTGCCAGGGATGATAAGAGTTGTAATTCAGCAGCACCTGGACGTTCCCCACATCTGAAGTATGTAAGTAATGAGAGTAGTGACATCATGGGAACTGTGGGACATGAGACTTGGTATTTCATTTTAAATGAGAGGTAGCTAAAACAGAAAGATCTATCCTAGGCCACAAATGAATCACTTTTTGATCATGTTTCATACCAGCCATATTGCCCACGCATGAAGAAACAGATGAGCCACCTTGCCATTCTCGTTCCAAGGAATAATACAGCACACATGGTGAGGGTTTAAAGTGCACACTTTTATTTTCTATTACAAAGGCTAAAAGAAGCAAATCTGTCTCATTAGGAACAAGAAAGTTGTTAGAACATCTACATTATTATCTTGGATACTAGACCTTCTGAAAGGTACTATGGATTTCTTTGTAATAGTAAAGCGTGGTATTCTTAAAATATAGTAATACAAAGACATTTTGAAGGACTCTCCAACTTATTACAAGATCAGCTTAGAAATATAGCATCTCCCTTCACTGGCTTTCCCCTATCACTCAATTTCTTAGGGATGGCCTGGTTGAAGGCCTGGTTAATCACTATCCCATTCAAACCTACCCTTCCCTCAACTTTGAGGATCTGGGAAAGGAGTCCTACCTCCTTTTTTGGAGCATTTTATAATACAGTGACTGAACCAATAACTTTATTTTATGTTAAGAAAGGGGCATTGCCAAGCTCTTTGTAGCACAGTTTGTTCAGTATTAAAAAACATAACCAGTGACCTAATTTCATTATAATTCTCAGATGTGTCTGCCCTCCTGAAAATCTTTCCCTTGCTAGGTCATTTATGGTAGTTATCCAAATGCTTATTTCTTTTATTCAGTTGTTCTGGAGCAGTGGGCTGACACCCTTGATTACTGAAGAACTGCTAGTGCTATGGATACAGTGAGATGCTATAGCACAAAAAATAATCCCATCCTATTTATATAAAGACAAAGGGGAAAAGATAAACAGAGGACAAAGTACCACCCCCTGCTCTTGACAACGTCCATTTTCTTAAGAAAATAATCAAAAGGCTTTCTTTAGCACCTTATTTATTAAATGAACATTTCTTTCCATGGAATGGGCAGATATTTACATGGGTGAGTTCACCATTAATTGGAGTAATGATCCCCTGTCATAATTCTTTTTCAATGCAACAGAACTATTCCTCCCCCCAACATCATTTTGTTTCAATAAGAGATGCTGCATTTCCCTAGCTAGAGTCCTTTTCCTTAACCCTCAATAAAAAAAGATTCCTTCAATACCACATACATATATAATATTATATAGAGTGATATATTTAATACCTGTGTATATATGTTTTATGGAAGGGTTACATATATACACACTAGAACAAGTCCAGTGACAAAATACTGCAACACCACATATCAGGTTATCATATCAGGAAAAAACAAAAGTTGATTCTCACTGCAATGCCCAAGAATATGTGTTCCCACCCCTATAAACTCTGCTTCCATAAACCACAAAAGCCCTTTTCTCCCCCATCAAAGTAGTATTGATTGGAGTAAAAAAGGCTGCAAAGCAGTTTATTTTTTAATTAAAGAGGAAAGGAAACATTTCCCACCCCATAATCTAAATAATTTCACATATTATAACTCATGGTAGAGCATACACTTATATAGTTACATTTCTAGATGCAGATAGTTTAAGAATTTTAAACATCCATTTTCTTATGTGTGTTTTCCTCTGTCTGTCCCAAATAGGTTAACATTTCAACTCCAGAAGCTGGTCAATTGCTCTCATCAGTGTTTTGAGAAATAGGACCAACAGACTGAAAGCATAATGGCCAAGCAGACAACAAGCAAATACACAGAATGCTTATGTGTGGGAAGGGGAGTGATTTGGCTCATTCAGTTGCAGTTGAATTTCTGTGGCTTTGCTTAATCCAGTGTCAAATTAATTAAGACTACTAAACTGGCAAGACAGCAGAAAATGCCAACTCCCTTTTTATCAAAATCTAGGCCAATGGAAGACACATAACATGATATGAGTGCTTTTGTTTCAAATTCTAGAATAATCAAATCAATAAAAGGGAATCATAGCTTTCAAGAAAAGTATGTGTGGATTATTCCATGGAATGGTGGTGGTCAGGGTACATGACTACCATTCATTGGGAGTCAAACACACAAAAAGCTATAACCTTCTCCTAGAAGATAGCAATGAAAAGTACCTACATCTCCTCTTTAGGAATATGAGTTTTTCGTCTAACAAAATAAGCCTATTTGAAAACAAGTAGCTGATTTTGCTTATAAAAAGAGCAAATATCTTTAAACTGGTTTTACGATAGGTACAAGTGGGTTAATAAGTGTGAAGGCCAGATACTGACAAAAATGAGTAATGGGGTATCTGATCATCAGTTAGAAAGAAAATAAAGCAACAAAAGGTTTCAGAGAACCCTAACCTAGTGATCTTATGTTCCCCTGCTCACTCTACTTCCCCTTCCTTATCACAATTATTTGGGCTTCTTCATGTCTATAGGGATAGCTTATATTATCTTAATTAATATTATTTAAGTAGGAAAGGGTAAAAACTCTTAGTTGGACAATTTCATAAAATAGATAGTATAACCAAGACTGCAGGTCCTAGATAGATACATCTCAGCATGAAACCTCCTCATTCAGATCACACATCATCTGCTTGAAAAACATAAAGCAAATATTTCAATACTGCATACTAATTTTTAATACACATATTAGTGCATTTCCTCTTAGACCCAAAAATAGAATTGCGCCAACTTGTTCAGTCACAAGTGCTGAGCATTTTAGCTTGCAAAAATATAAGTTGTGCACATTTTAGATCACCTGCATTCTGATCCAGAACAGATGTGTCCAACACACACATCATGCCAAGTGTCATAAAATGAAAGCACTTTTCCCCCCTTCTCCAACCCCTATTTCACAGAACGTTTTGTTTAATGTTCCCATCATTTTTTGCAGACGCTTACAGCCCAGTGCTGAACATGCTTACCCCAAAAGCAGCCCCCATGGCGTTCAATGGAACTTAACTCATAGAAAGCATGCTTTGGACGATAGCCTCTGGAAGCTCACTTCAAAAGGTGTGTTAAATAGTACTGATATAAAAGAGATCATATTGCCTTCTAGGAACCTTGTCCACTGTCAGAGAGGGGACAGAATGCTGATTTAATGTGTTCTTGTTGCTGGAGGCTATTTGTAGATAACATATTCTATTAGTTTTGGAAATGAAACATTCATATGCAAGGAGGGTTTTATTCTCCTTCTTTGTAACCTTGGTTTAACCAGTTTCTCTTGTGGAAACATTTTAAACTTCTCTCTTTGCATTTAATTCTATCTTTGATTTCAAGTGTAGTTACATTTTTTATTATCTGAGTGGCACCACATATTTTACATGGCAAAAAAAGAATATGGTTTCCAACCTGACTCTGCTTTTTATATGGCAAACATTTTTTAATCTAAACAACTGGATTCCTTTTACATAATTTCTGTCCGATTCTGCTATCATTGCTTTTTGGTCTTTGCAGACACACACATCCATCCAATACAGGGAGCGGGGGGCACCACTAAGGTGGAACTGACACACTTTCAGTAACAACCGAGCAGGCTCTCTGCACAACCTGCAAACATTAACTTTTCTTAAGCACATGTCAATCCTCAAAAGAGCATCTTGGTTTTAGGTGTCTCTACGGAGAGGTAAAGACTGCATTGTGCAATTGCTCCAACTGTAGGAGGAAGAATCTTCACAGTTATGCTTAAGAAAGGTCCAACACAATAATCTGTTATCAATTTGCTTTTTGGGTAACAGAATAAGCTATATGGGAAGGCAGGGAATATACTGTTGCCTCCATCTCCAAAGGCAACGTAGTGATAATCTTTCTAGCTGGACTAGAAATGCATTGTCCTCCCTCACCTGAGAGGGATTGGAATGGGCAGAAAGGAGGAGGTAAGTTTTAATCTTAGAATACACAGAGAAAAAATATGATCTTATTTTTTACTATTGCCTACAGCAACCACCGGAGTCACCTCAAAACTTTAAAGATAGGTTGAACTGGGCTTGTTTTAAGTTACTTCCTTATTCTTCTACACCATGGTTTGGGTGTCTGTGGAGAAGAGCACACAGCACTGCACAGTCACCAACACTGAACAAAACCCCACTTGCTCATCATTTCTCCACTATCTCTCTATGTCATGTCCATGATGCTGCAATATTCCAGCAATCAGGCACCCAAATAAAGTATCCTGGGGCTTGGGCACCAAAGTGAGAAGCCCCCTCCCTCTTATTTACCAAACACCGCAAAACAGTATCTTTTTTTTTTTTTTAAGTTGAAAAGTGGTAGATTGAAAAGTTATGTTTAAAAAGGGAGCAGGGGAGATAGAACAAAAGTCTAGGAGCATCATGTTCCCTGGCTATAGATGAATCAATTCAAAATCCCATTCAACATCAGTAAATCATCTTGATTATCTTACAATCAAAGAAAGGTTTGTGGAACAACTACCAGTCTCTTTGTCACTGCCCTGCTCCTTCCCTTCCCACATCTCTGGTTTTGAAAACCTGCCTGTTTTCTCACCACCCTCAGTAAATTATATGCTATCCCGTAATAGGAAGCTGTATTTGCCAAAGTCGTCATCTCTGGGGCAGAGCAGCATATCCTTGCGGGCTTTGGCCAGCTTCTGCTTCATGACTTCCCTCCGATCCAGCCACTCCGTCAGTTCATCCTGGCCATGAGCAGAGCGACACTTCTCCCCTTCAGGGCAGGATTTTGTCTTCTGGAATCTGCAGGAGGACAACACATGGCTTAAGAGACTTCAACCATTTCCCTCAGTTCTTCAGTATCTGACACCAGAAAACTAATTTCAAACTACAGAGGGTTTTTTCTACGAAACATAGCAAGGGCCCAAGGCAAAAGAGGGATACTTTTTTGGCAAACAAGCCAGCCGGGTCAGTTGTCAGGTATGATGGGAGTTGGAGCTGAGCAACATCTGAACTGTAACTGTTGTTTAAAAGTATGAGATAACCTTATTAAAGCAAACATAAGTTTCTTAAAGAAACAATAGCAAACTTATCATGCCTTTATAGTTTATAGCAAATTATATATTGTTACTTTTATTATAAAAGTGTGTCTGGCCAGTTTTGTACCATGTCTGAATTTCACCAGCTATTGAGATATAGTTAAAGATGTTAGTAAACAATGTAGTACAGACATCTGGTGGCAGCAGTTAGAAAGTGAATAGGCAGTGGTAAATAAAAGCTGGCTCTCCGCCTATTAAAAATAAATAAATAGATGAGCCTCTCCACCTATTATTAATAAACATTTAACCTGAAAAAGTAAATAGTAGCTGTGCTGCCCCATTAGAAAATTCCAAATCAATATTAGAGCAATAACTCTACCAGGCCAACCAAAATGTGACAAAACAGTACATAAGCTTCTGAGTCCTTCAGAACTCTTCCTAAGGCTAGACGGCAATGGGGTGAGGAAGAGCTGAAGCCAAGGACTGTTCTCTTTATTAATCTGGAGTTGCATATTGACTGCGTATGTAACCAGATGAGAAGGAGGTAGTTTTGTGCACAGTACCTTTCACACAGCCGGAACTCCCCCATTGGGAAACGGTAGTTCCAGCAGCTGGAGTCGTTCTCCGATGTGAAGACTTTTTCTTTATGCTTCTCTGACTGAATGTGTTGCTGCCACTGCTTCTTGCTGTTGCTGTTCTTCCCACAAAGCCAGCAATGGTAACCCATCTAGCCATCAGATAACAGGAGAACACAGTTCTTTAACTTCCTGCTGTTTCACTGAACAACTGCTCCATAAAAGGGTTAGAAAGGGCTCCTCCAACCACCTCCATGCCTAGCGTTCAATAAAACCAATTTGCCCATGACTTAAACATTTCCACTAATTAAGCTGTATAGAAATAGCTCAGATAATAATAAAAGAAATCTATTGTTCTATGTGTTTCATAATTTGATCACCAACTAGATTTTCCTTTACTATCCACTTTCCAAAATGTTTTGCAACTGCCAAAGATATTCTGGGTTTTGTGGGGGGAGTGGTGGAGAGAAAAGGAAGAGGGGGAGGAAAAAAGGGGGTGCATGTGAAAAGTTGGGTGCAAGGGGCTGCAAAAGAGAGGGAGTAGGAGGGATGGCAATGAGGATGGTGAAAACAGGTGCAAAATGGGGCTGCCGAACAGAACAGAAAAGTAACTTCAGAAATGGGGCTGGGAAAGTGAAAAGCAGCCTTTGTAGTTGCATGGGATGGGAAGGAGAAGCTCTTGGGGGTTAATGTGGGGAGAATGGCAGGGGGACTGATAAGTGAAACAGTGAGCAGGGGCACAGGGGTGTGGGGGGTATAATAAAATAGAGTCAACATTAAATCCTTCATATATTTCACTACTCATACAAGGATTGGGTCTTCCCAAGACTTCATGTCATTCCAGCAAAATACATGCAATTAATGAAGTGGCCCTCCATTTCTTTTTTTTAAATGGTACACTGTCTTCATAAAAAATTAAATATTTATTATTTGTTTGACTTAAATGCTTGCTGCTAAGAGCAATGGCGTAACATACAAAACAATACCTCTCAATAAAAATCATTCCAACAACCCATGAAGAAACCCAGCATAAAAACAGCAAAATCTTCAGGAGCAGCAACATTCCACCCAATGGGCCATCAACCAGCTTATGGATGGCAAGCGACAGATTGCGCAAGAGAAAGATGTTACCATGTCAGCATAATCAGTGGGCATCTGGATCTGCTTCTCCCCTTCCCGTGATGTCAGAGGTGTCCCCTCACCCGGCTTCCCAGGATTGTGTTTTTTCAGCCACATGTCGTAGGTCTGCTGCATATCCAAAACTGCAATGAAATATCAGTTTGAGGAGCCTCCTTTCCATCATACCAAGCACAATATCTCCAAGAGGAAAGCTTTACAAGCTGCTTTATACCAAAATCAGAGCAAGAGCTCATCTAGTTTGATATTATCTTAGCATTCTTGTAGCTCAGCTCTTCAGCATTTCAGACGGGGGTCTCTCTAGAAGCCCTACCTAGAGATGCCTGGATTTGAACCTGGGATCTGCCACATGCAAAAGACGTGCTTTGCAATTGAGCCAAAAGCCCCACCACAGCTGAAAGGACTTACAAAAATACTTTTTTTCTTTTAAGGCAGGTGTGAGGAACTTCAGGCATGGGGGCTAAATATGAACTTCCAAGGTTCTCTATCTGGGCCCTGACTCTCTCCACCCCCCACCCCTAGGCTACCTCCCCCCCAACCCAGCTTCAACACCCCCCTGGGTGTTTTTGGATGGGTGGAATTTGTCCCTGGACTCTGATAATAGCTCTCCTTTGTCTAGATGAAGAATAGAGAGGGGTAGGTGTCTGAGTGGAGAAACTAGACTACTGTACAAAGTTAAAAGCCACTTTTGCCTCTGGCCCTGCTCATTACTGGAATGTGGCCCCTGGAAGGCTGCCCAGAAGGTGAGATATAAATGCGACAAATAAACAAAATAAAAATAAAATAGCACAAGGTGCAGGACACTGTTTCAGCCGGCAGAGAAGAAGATAGCTATACATGCGTGTGACATTTTGGAATACAATTCCAGCCCACAATGGTGCGGTTCCTATTTAAAGCAGACTTCTGTAAACTGCGGGTATCGGTGGATTGGGAGTCAAGTCTTGTGCATGCACTCCTCCCTCCTCTGCTCTCTGGAGTCATCTGCACCCCCTTCCTGACATTAATCATAGTTTTAGGGAACTATGGTTTGTAAACCAATTTCAAGCCACGGCTTTAATCCTATCCATGTTTAGCCCTACTCAGACCTGGAACCTCTTCATAGAGGAGCAGAGCAGCCTAGCAGATTTCACTGCCAGCAACCCTGCCAGATTCAGAACTCCTGGCCCCAGGACCAGAGCTCATAACACCAGTAGCCTAGATTCCTGAATAATTCTTGGATTCCATCCCTCCACCAATCATCACCCCTGGAGCTCCAATAATAGAGGAGACAGAAACAAGGCACGAACATGCTTGGCTAACAGCATGTTTGGCTATTCAGGAGGCAGGTAAGTGCCTGAAAACAGGGCCTGGCAGAAAAATCCAGGCAGGAATGGAGTCTCCCGCTGCTATATAAGCTCTCATTCTTAGCTCCCTCAGAGCTCCAAACTCACCTTCCTAAACTGGGGAAAGAGACAAGATTCCCAATTATTTTATACATTGGTGTCCTCATAATGCAGTACTTCAATTAGCACAGGGAAGGAAGGGGAAATTGCTCTGGAGAGGGGAAGGAAGGAGCAAGTTTCACAAGACCAGCCCTTGGTCTGGAAACTATGCTTTTCAGGGAGCCAGACTTACATCTTCACTAAGCCACAGTGTGTCCATCACTCTCAAGGTAGCTTTCCTAAAAACGGGGGTATGGGGAACTAGAATGGAAGAGAGATTTCCCCCTGCTCCCAAACATACATTCCACTCACTCTTATTTTCTTTCATGAAAGTCCACATCTCTCTCTCTTCAGGGCTGTGGGCAAAAGAGCAGTTTCCAACATACTGACACTTTCTGCCATTTTGGGCATGAATGCATAGCTGCAAAGAGATAGAAAACACACAAACACCAACCTTAAAAAAGAAGGAAAAAAACCCTCCACCCTCAAAAGAAAAAAGGATGAAGTAGCCAAGAATGATGCCAAGTCAAACAAAAAGGGGACAAGCAAGCTTTGCGAATTAATTCTGCTTCAGGCTGTATCTGTAAATCTGTGACTAGGCACTGATAACAACATACAAATTTGTCTCTCCAGCTTGACAGGTGATAGCCTTCCAGCATTAAGGTAGTTGACCCCCACCCCACCCCGGCAACAAAAACCTGTTCTTTAAAGCTCAATCAGAGCGAACAGCAATCTCTGGAAAATCTGAACTGACGTTTGCTCCAATTGAGTGCTAAAGAGCAGGTATTCACTGCAACAAAACCAAAACCAAAAACCCACGCTCAGACACAGAGTTTTAAAGTTTTTAAGTGTGGATAAGCCCCGAGATCTGTAGGATTTAAATTTGCAATTATTGTTTTTTCGGTACAAGTTTATTCTGGCTTTTATCACTGTATATATGTTGAATGCCATTAAGGACTCTGTGGTGACAGAACCCACCTCCACACATACACCTGAAAGATGACAAGCAAAGAAGAAGAAGAAGAAGAAGACGACGACGACTGATATACTGGGGGCTTATGGAGGTTATTCAACAACCCAGTTATTCTGCGAAGACTGCTGTGGAATTGTTTCTGTGCTTTCTGCCAATTTTCCAGGCCCTCCTGGAATAGCTGCAGCACTTCTGGATGAAGGCCTTCTGAGTTTCAGGTGCACTGCCAATCAGTGCACCTGGTTATCAATAAGCCATACAGACTGCAGCAATTTCTTCTTATGGATCACTACTATGGATCAATTCAGAATGGTTGTGTGATCCATAGCAGGATTAGGGTGGTGGTGGCATAGTTTCTCCCCTCACTCAAAAAGCAGCTGTTGTGCATAACACTGCTAGCTGCTGTGTCACAGGGATTGGAGTCATGGGCTCCTCCCCACCTGCCTCTTATTCCAGAGTATCAGTACCACAGACTAGCTTTCTGCAAGTCCTGCCATGGCCACACACCACTTGTCTCACACTTGCCATTTAAGCAAGGTCTTCAGACACTGCCATCTTTCCCCTTGACACAGGGTACAAAGGAAAACCTACTACTCTTTAAGTCCACTTTCTCTCTTATGTCTGTCCTTGTGTTGGACAAGCGCTCCCAAGAACTGCAGGTGCATTCTAGCACATGGAGCTACACAGAGATCTGCTTTGAAATGGAAGGCTGCATCACGGAATTAAGAATAGTACACCTTCAATATGCTACATTCAAGCATGCTTTCAAGCAAGAGAATGGCATCACAGTGATGCTCACAGAGGGGAGTCTGAGACCTGCCTGCCATACCAACATATCAGAAAGTTACTCTGGACCACATCCTCTCTCCGTTTCTGGAAATGGAGACAAATCAAGGCCAGATTTCTTGAATACCTCTCCAGGAACCTCCTAGATTGCAGAGTTGAATAGAAAACACTAAAATATAAATATAGGAGGAGAACCGAAGAAAAGCTTCTCCTCCAAAGACATACTGCTAACGTTTTCCCTTTCCCTCATATCTCACTTTTCAGTTCTTGTTTCTACCACAAAGCCTCTTCATTTCTTGAAAAGACCACAGCCTGAGCAGGCTACAGCACAACTGCCCATTCCTCACCCACAGTGAAAATCATGCTATGCTCTAGGAGAATGATTTCCCAAGCAATTGTTTTTAACGTCTCTTCCTCATCCTTACTCACTCATGGAAACAGAAGATGTTGGCTTTGTGCTCAAAGGAAATAGACAACAGACACTCGGATTAGAAACAGATTTAATGAACAATTCCAACAAAGTAAACAAAAACTATTCCCTTAGCCAGGGGTGGGGAACTTGTGGTCTCCAGATGTTGTTGGACTACAAATCCCATCATCCCCTGACCACTGGCCAAGAGTTGGAGTCCATTGGCCGGGAGTTGGATTCTGGTAACGTCTGGTGGGCCAGCGGTTCCCCATCCATGCACTTAGCAATCAACAGAAGTACAGCAGTAAAATTATTCACTTCCTTGTAGCAACCATTTTTGAAGCACGGTTATTTCCTTTTGCAACAGAATACAAGTCTTTTAAAAAAGGGATTGGATGATTTTTATAGAACTCTCCTATAAGGAGAGGCAAAAGGAGGCATTTGACTCTAGGGGCACATGAAAAGCCTAGATATGAACATTCATGTGCGAATATACACACGTGCATGTATTGCTTGCTCATTATTTACCAAATATTGTTGGTCGTTTTGAGTCTTCCCTCCCCTTAGGAAAAAGGGATACAAAAAAGTTTTGCAACATGTTCACCCACAACTGGGTTTAACATTAAGAGCTCCTCTTGATAGTTTTCTTCTTTTTTGAATGAGCAGTGCTTTCCAAATCCTTGAACTGACTTGAAGTCACTTCATCTTCAAGCCCAGGAGCTAGTGCCCCACCTTCTCTGGCAGTAAACAAACTGAGGAATGTCACCAGCTTCTTTTCACACACACAGCACTCTGAATTAGAGGAGGGTAACCCAAGGTGAAATGCTATACCCAATTCCAGAGCCAACCAGTCTTTCATGGAACAAGGATTTTAATTAAAACCACCAAATTTGCATGGGTGATTTCAACGGGTGTCAAAATATTCTTTCATTATTGCACCACTGACTAATCTTGGCCTTCAACCAGCACCTGTTTTTTGTCTAACAATAACTCTGCTATTCCCCTGTCTAAAGAGCTCTTCCTCCTTTGGCTTCTGCATTCTGGCTCCCTTCTCACTCCATACAGAGCTCAAGTGTGAATGGAAAGAAAAGGCAAGTCACCTATAAGAAAAGGTCACACGACATTTGGGACTTCTTAGAGAAAAGGCGAGTAAGATACACGGCAGATATAAAGAATGATGCACAGTGAGAAAGTGGATAGAGAAAAGTTCTCTCCCTCTCTCATAATACTAAAACTCAAGAGGCTTCCAAGTTTCTGGGCAGCCAAAAAAAGGGCATTTCTTCGCATTGCACTTACTGTACATTCGCCTGGCACCTTCATTATATATTTTTAGGCACCAGCTGAAAACCTTCCTCTTTAACCAGGCCTTTGGCTGATTAATATTCTACAGCCTTTTAAATGTGTCTGTGGGAAGGGGGGGGTATTGTTTTGCTGTTTTGTTTAAATTGTTTCCTCATTTTTATCCTTTATTTTATTCTGTGAACTGCCCTGAGCTGAGTAGTAGTAGTATGTGTAATAATAATAATAATAATAATAATAATAAACAACTAGGGAATTCACGCCTACGAAAAGCAGTGGTGGCCATAAGCTTGGCTAGCTTCAAAAGAGATAAGTTCATGGAGGAGAAGGCAATCAACAACTAATAAGCAGGATGGTGATGGTCTACCATTGCTGCCAGAAGCAGATTGCCTATGTATACCAGTTCCTGGGAAACACAAGTGGGGAAAATGCTACTATGCTCAAGTTCTGCTCGTGGCTTCCAATAGGCAACTGACTAGCCACTGTAAGAACAGTGCTGGACTAGTTGTGCCTGATCCTGCAGGCTCCGATGATGTTCTTATGTTAAGCGCCATCTGCAAAACAACAGGGATACTCACATCGTATTGCTGAGGGAAGTTGCGGATGGAAGGCAATGGTCGGACAGACACCCACTTCTTCTTTGCTTTGGACATCACAAGCAGGACACGGCGCTCCTTGGTCCAACTACGAGGGGAGGGGGAACCCAAAAAGATGCTCAGAAAATGTTCCATTATGAGCAGAGTCTGGCTTTCATGACAACTGGTGTACAGTGGTATCTCGGGTTACATACACTTCAGGTTACATACGCTTCAGGTTACAGACTCCGCTAACCCAGAAATAGTGCTTCAGGTTAAGAACTTTGCTTCAGGATGAGAACAGAAATCGTGCTCTGGCGGCGCAGCGGCAGCAGGCGGCCTCATTAGCTAAAGTGGTGCTTCAGGTTAAGAACAGTTTCAGGTTAAGAACGGACCACGGGAACGAATTAAGTACTTAACCTGAGGTACCACTGTACAGACTGAGCTAATGAATCCAGAATTCCCTGCTAGAAAGAAGGAAAGCTCTGTGCCACGAACCATGTGGGCAGGGTGGGGAGGACAACACACAACAACTGATCGCCAAATTAAACTGTGTGAAGCAGTAGCAGATAAGAAAGCCTTACGAGGCTTTCTGGTCCTGTACCACATAGCTTGTATGATTTATAGACTAAGGAAGAGTTTTCAGAACTGCGTGTCAGGGCACACTAGTGTGCCATTAGAGAGAGAGAGAAGTAGGCCTTGAAAACTTAAGCAGCTACTATGTCCAGGTCTGTGGCAGTGTGTGAAGGCACCTTCCTAAAGCAGAGTAGCAATGCCTGACTGAGAGGGAGACTATCTCTTAAGTGCCACAGAGGAAAGATGGGATATAAATCTAATATCTAAATAATCATTGGTGGCATCTATCTCACTATATCCTTATTTGTTTACCCTTGCTACTCCTCAAGAGGCATCTCAAAATGATTTACACTATAACAACAAATATAAAAGTTGCCTACAGTCATACCTTGGTTTTTGAACAGCTTAGTTCTCAAATGTTTTGGCTCCCAAACACTGCAAACCTGGAAGTGACTGTTCCAGTTTGCATACTGTTTTTGGAAACTGAACAACCGATGGAGCTTCCGACTGGTTGCAGGAGCTTCCTCCAGCCAATCAGAAGCCACGCTTTGGTTTCTGAATGTTTTGGAAGTCGAACAGACTTCTGGAACGGATTCCATTCAACTTCCAAGGTACGACTGTATATAAAAACAATTTAAAAAGCAATTGTGTATGTAAACAATTTTGAAAAACAACCACTATAAATATAAAAGCAGTTGAAAACAACAACAAATACACACAATCCATTCAGGTACAGGACAGGCACCAACCAGGATAAAGATTTTAGAAGGCTTATTGAAGGTGTGTGCAGGCACTGTGCATACCTTCTGAGTGGGGAGGCAGCAGACAGCACGCGTTTCCGCCTTTTTGCCAGAATATGATCATTGACATAACCCTGAAGGACGGACTAATAATGCACAAGGATTCCCCAGATGCAACCTGTGCTAGAGCTGTCAGGCATGGGGGAATCCCTGACACATTGCCTACTTAGGGAAGCAACCGTGCTTCTTAGGCAAAGGAAAGGGTAAGACGTTGGGAAGCAGAATCAAAATGGGCTGGCTTCAAACTCCCTGCCCATTGCTTTACAAGTTAATCAAGCAATTATAGTAATCTTTTTTAGTGCAAAGCTGAAGTATACTGTAGTGATCAGGTGGGATTGCTATGAGGAATTATAAATATAGAGTAAGCCATCTGTGTCAGCAATGAAAGCATTGCATTGACTGGGTTTAAACTATTTTGATATGATTCTTGATCAATCCACACCTCTGCATCCCTGTTCCATTTCTCTTTCTTGACAAGTCACGTCCTGCAGGCAGGCATCCTGGGTCATCAAAGCTAGTGGGCAGCTTCTTTTGATGTAGCTTTTCTGATATGTTAATCTTAGGATGTTAATCTTAGGGCCAGGAAACAGATCTCACCTGAAGGTGATAATGATCACAATATGTGTGCTTAATTAGTTTTGGTAGTTTAAATTTTCCCAACATGGGGTTTATTGAAATGCTCAGAAGAAGTCTGATTGGTTCTTACGAACACTCTGTAAAAAGTTCTTTTGTGAATAAAACGACCTGGGCCGTGGGGTAGAGGGAGAGAGATTATTATATGCACCCTTCCCAGAGTCTTGCTGGTTCAAGCCTCTGTGTGTATTCTTATTAATCAGAGTTCAATCCTTCCTTTACTTTGGGAAAGCCTCAGTATACCTCCATTTTTAAATTGGGGGGGGCACCTGTCCCATTATCAAAACTTTGGGAAACATTGTATTAAAACAATACAGACCCATAAGTAATTGGCCCATAAACTCTGCATAATTTTAATCTCCCTTTTCCCCATGTTTTTTCTCCACACAGCCTCCACAAGAGTAGGTATGCCTGGCACTAACTCAGTTCAAAAATGACCACAAATACATTTTATAGTCTACAAGGAATAAAAACAAAACCCTAGAAAACCACAGCAATCGTTTAAATAAAAGCACGCCACAAAATCTATGGTAGGAAAATATTCTACAGGCAGTAGAATAGGTAAGGGCACCTACCAGTGGCGAGCTTTGGCACTACAGTACTTGAGGTCCTTGTCTGGTTCTACCACCTGCCCATTCCTCCAGCACTGGCCACAAACAAATTTCATTTGGAGGTCGAAAGTGCTTGACGTGGGAGTCCTCGCAGAAGCCTGATATTGGGAAGGAGGAAGGAACAAAGTTGGTGGAGGGAGTTGCTGCATTCACAAAATTGGACAAGCTAGATTTACTAAGACAATACACATTTTTACACGTATGTTCTTTTATGAGAACTGCAGAATAAAGCAAGCGACAAAACAAGACTGCAAAAACAGATCCTAACAGTAAGATAAAATTACATTAGAATGGATATTGATATATAAGTAAATAGCCTTTGCTGCTAATTTACAGACAAAAATCCCGTTATTTGAAAAGGCAAAGGATATCATATGTAAGGGACTGAAGATAAAGATAAAGCGCTCTCTTCTTTCTCTCTCTCTCCCACAGACTCTGTTTCATGCTATTAAAGAAGCTAATAAGCCACCTACTTCTGTTTTCTAGTATTGTGGGATGCGGTGGTGGAGATAATGAAATGGCACAATATAAAACTCGCAGTAAAAAACCAACTCTTTTTATGATCCATGCTGTCGAATTTACAATTGCATTCCTACAGGAACCTTTTTTTTTTTTTTTGCCAGTATTGGCCACTGGTTCAGCACAGTATCTAATCAATAGATTGGGCTCTAAGGGCATAAATTGGGCTATATGATCTTTACAGTCCTGGGCTTGGACTCACTTCACTTCCTGCAGGGGTTGCAAACATTGCACATGACACACCCAGTCTAAAATGAACATAAATACACAAAGTAACCCTGAGGAACGTAAGGACTCCTGGACGGTTAAGTCCAGTCAAAGGTGTCTATGGGGTTGTGGCACTCATCTCACTTTCAGGCCGAGGGAGCTGGTGTTTGTCCACAGACAGCTTTCCGGGTTGTGTGGCTAGCATGACTAAACCGCTTCTGGTGCAATGGAACACTGTTACGGAAACCAGAGCGCACGTAAACGCTGTTTACCTTCCTGCCGCAGCGGTACCTATTTATCTACTTGTACTGGCATGCTTTCGAACTGCTAGGTTGGCAGGAGCTGGGACAGAGCAATGGAAGCTTACCCTGTTGCGGGGATTAGAACCGCCAACCTTCTGACTGGCAAGCCCAAGAGGCCACCTGTGTCCCTGAGAAACATAGCAGTGGCATAGGATTTGGGGGGGGGGAGCCTGCAGTGGCGGTTGCCCTGGACACAAAATTGTTAGCGGGTGCAAAATTACGACAGTGCTGCCTCAATACAGCTGTACGCTTCCATTGGTGAGGTCTGTTGAAAATGGCTTCTCCATGTGAACCAGGAAGGGACCTCTTCAGGCAACGGAACAACTCTTCTTTTCTTATCTCTACAGCTGTGGTCTCATGGGTGACATGGACGCTGTTAGGCAGTTTAATGTGCATATATAAACTATATCATCTTTTACAACATTGGGGGCAGAAAATATTACTTGATGGAATTCTCTGCCTGAGCAACATATTAAGAATGATACTTCAACTCTGAATGACTAACAATTTGAGTAGAAGAGAAAAGAGCTGCTAATACAGTAGTGCCTCGCAAGACGAAATTAATTCGTTCCGCAAGTCTCTTCGTCTTGCGGTTTTTTCGTCTTGCGATGCACGGTTTCCCATAGGAATGCATTGAAAATCAATTAATGCGTTCCTAGGGAAACCGCCTTCAGACCAGGTCCGGGGACAGTCTGTCCCCGGACCTCTTCTGAAGGCTGGGGGGGGGGGACAAGGGCTTTTCTTCCCACCCCCGGCATTTTAAAAAACCCTGGGACAGCGGAGGACTTCTCCGCTGTCCGGGGCGATCTTAAAATGCTGGCGGGCGGCATTTTAAAATCGCCCCGGACAGCGGAGGACTTCTCCGCTGTCCGGGGCGATTTAAAAGCCCCTGGGAAGGCAGGCAGGGGGGACAAAGACTTTCGCCCCCTGCCCGCCTTCAGAAGGTGTCCCCGCCCCCCCTCCCCGCTTCGGAACAGCTTTCCGAAGTGGGGCGGCTGGGGCAGATGTCCCCGCCCCCCCTCCCCGCTTCGGAACAGCTTTCCGAAGTGGGGCGGCTGGGGCAGATGTCCCCGCCCCCCCTCCCCGCTTCGGAACAGCTTTCCGAAGTGGGGCGGCTGGGGCAGATGTCCCCGCCCCCCCTCCCCGCTTCGGAACAGCTTTCCGAAGTGGGGCGGCTGGGGCAGGTGTCCCCGCCCCCCTCCCCGCTTCGGAACAGCTTTCCGAAGTGGGGCGGCTGGGGCAGGTGTCCCCGCCCCCCCTCCCCGCTTCGGAACAGCTTTCCGAAGTGGGGCGGCTGGGGCAGGTGTCCCCGCCCCCCCTCCCCGCTTCGGAACAGCTTTCCGAAGTGGGGCGGCTGGGGCAGATGTCCCCGCCCCCCCCTCCCCGCTTCGGAACAGCTTTCCGAAGTGGGGCGGCTGGGGCAGATGTCCCCGCCCCCCCTCCCCGCTTCGGAACAGCTTTCCGAAGTGGGGCGGCTGGGGCAGATGTCCCCGCCCCCCCTCCCCGCTTCGGAACAGCTTTCCGAAGTGGGGCGGCTGGGGCAGATGTCCCCGCCCCCCCTCCCCGCTTCGGAACAGCTTTCCGAAGTGGGGCGGCTGGGGCAGATGTCCCCGCCCCCCCTCCCCGCTTCGGAACAGCTTTCCGAAGTGGGGCGGCTGGGGCAGATGTCCCCGCCCCCCCTCCCCGCTTCGGAACAGCTTTCCGAAGTGGGGCGGCTGGGGCAGATGTCCCCGCCCCCCCTCCCCACTTCGGAACAGCTTTCCGAAGTGGGGCGGCTGGGGCAGATGTCCCCGCCCCCCCTCCCCACTTCGGAACAGCTTTCCGAAGTGGGGCGGCTGGGGCAGGTGTCCCCGCCCCCCCTCCCCACTTCAGAACAGCTTTCCGAAGTGGGGCGGCTGGGGCAGGTGTCCCCACCCCCCCCTTCGGAACAGCGTTTTAAAATGCTGGGGGTCGGGAGCGAAGCGCTGCCGACCCCCAGCATTTTAAAATCTCCCCGTGTCCCGGGAAGATTTTAAAATGCTGGGGGTCGGGCTGCCGACCCCCAGCATTTTAAAACCTTCCCGGGACACGGGGAGATTTTAAAATGCAGGGGGTCGGCAGCGCTTCGCTCCCGACCCCCAGCATTTTAAAACCTTCCCGGGACACGGGGAGATTTTAAAATGCAGGGAGTCGGCAGCGCTTCGCTCCCGACCCCCAGCATTTTAAAACCTTCCCGGGACACGGGGAGATTTTAAAATGCTGGGGGTCGGCAGCGCTTCGCTCCCGACCCCCAGCATTTTAAAACCTTCCCGGGACACGGGGAGATTTTAAAATGCTGGGGGTTGGCAGCGAACGCTTCGCTCCCGACCCCCAGCATTTTAAAATCTCCCCGGGACAGGGGGAGATTTTAAAATGCTGGGGGTCAGCAGCTAACGCTTCGCTCCCGACCCCCAGCATTTTAAAATCTCCCCGGGACAGAGACTTCTCTGCTGTCCCTTGGAGATTTTAAAATGCTGGGGGTCGGCAGCGAACGCTTCGCTCCCGCCCGCCAGCATTTTAAGATCGCCCCGGGCAGGCGGGGGAAGGCAGGCGGGGGGGAGCAAAGACTTTTGCCCCCCGCCGGCCTTCAGAAGAGGTCCTCTTCTGAAGGCCGGCTGTGGGCGAAAGTCTTTGCTCCCGACCGCCAGCATTTCCCTATGGGCTTTCGTCTTGCGATGCAAGCCCATAGGGAAATTCATCTTGCGAAGCGCCTCCAAAACAGAAAACCCTTTCGTCTTGCGGGTTTTCCGTCTTGCGAGGCATTCGTCTTGCGGGGTACCACTGTAATTTAAAGACAATTTGTGCCAACTTAGAATTTGGAAAGAAACAGTGGCAGGAGGGAGAAGTCAGAGGGTGAGATATATGGAGAGATGGTTCTCCCAGGACAGGAGATCACAGATTCATGCAATTGGTGGTGGTAATTTAGTGTAGAAAATGTGTGTTGGTTGGGGGAGGAGGAAGAAAAGAGGGTTCACATTGTTATGGTTCTTGCCACCTCTATAGGAAAAAAGAACACTGAACACAATACGCACATACAATCCTCATTCCTTTGACTGCACTGTTAGGGGAAAAAATGCTGCCTTTCTTTATAAACAAACTCATGGAACTTAAATTAAAATAAAACACACACACACACACACACACACACAACAGGGGTCTAGGACAAATGAGTCACTCGGGGTGCCAAGTGTTTTAGGAGTGCAAAACGCAAAGAATGCTGATATTGAGCAATTTGTTCAGCCACACTGTTTTGTGTAGGATTATGCGGCATCAACTCAAAACAAGCTCCACTGAGTCTTTACTCTCAGATAAGGATAGCCACCTGAATCAGGTAGCCAGAGCACACCAACTGAGGCCAAGGAAATCTCCACAGAGAGTGGACCCTGCCTTAGACCAAGCCTAGAAGGAGGGTTTAAAGTTTTACATGTGTGTAATTCTGGAGAGAGTTTCTAAAGACTCAGGTGCCCTGGGTAAACGCACCAGGCTGGTGTCACAAGTCACATAAGTACAGATTGTACCAATCGCCATGCTGATCACTGCAAGAACAAATGGAAAAGCAGGGCTAATCCAGATTAGTGCAGGAGGTATGGTGCAAAAAGAGTAACTATGACAAAACACAAACTCCTGGAACAAAAACAGCTATTCCTATTAGCCAAGCCTACTAGACACCTATTTCTACAGTGTTAATTAGCCATGTGTGGAAAGCTGCCATCAAGGCCCTCCCACCAAATAAATCCATATAAGTCATTGTTGCAGATGGAATTCATCCCTTAGGTATCTATCTAATAATCGCTGCCTCCAGTCTTTTCACACCCTCATCAAAGGCTTTGAAAAGCTCCTTCTAAACATTAGAAGCTTCCAAGAACATGAGGCAAGCACAAACTGAACAGGTCTTTTCAGGTGAGTAGCCTAAAGCTGAGAAGCATATGCATCCTTGCCAGGTAAATACATCTTTGCAAAGGTAAAAGGAACTAAAAGAAGAAGCCAAAGCATCAACTGTGCATGACTGTATTTGTAACAGCAAGACACATACCTGACAGATTGCTAATAAA